GGGAAGGATTAGCACCCCCACAACGTCCATAAATTGGTACCATTCAACTATGCGCTATTTTCAATGTCGGATAAAAATGGTTTTAATTTGAAATTTAACATTAATTTCTTTTATTTAAAAAAAATATTTTTTTTTGCTAAAATTTTTATTTTGGAATATTGATAAAATCTTTAAGTTAAAGAATTATCTTAAAATTCTCCAACATCTAGGCAGAATTTAAAGTAACCATTTTCGCTTAAGATTTATCACAACAATTCTTAAAATGAAATAACACTCTTTACAGAATTGTTGGTGACTCTTCAACATCTAGGCAGAGTACCATGAGTAAATTAAAGAGAGAATAATGCAGACAATTATTGATGATAATACGATAACATATGTATGCTAATGAATGTCATGTAAAATGAAATGCAATTTAAGAGTTTGATTCTTAAATATAATGAGACCACCCCGACTCTCCAACATCTAGGCAGAACTTAGGTGCGACTGTTTATATTTAAGATCCCAATTTTATTATACTTTTTTTTATTTATTAATCTTATTATTAATAAAATACAATTTAAGAGTTGGATTCTTAAATATAATGAGACCACCCCGACTCTCCAACATCTAGGCAGAGCTTAGGTGCGACTGTTTATATTTAAAATTCCAATTTTATTATACTTTTTATTTATTAATCTTATTATTAATATGAATTATGAACTCATGTGAAAAGACTTAATGAAGTAAAATTTCCTAAATACCCCATCATCTAGGCGGCATTCGGGAACAAATTGCTTCCAATAGAATTTTCACACGTGTCCTTAAGATTTTTCGGACTTTGGACTTCAAGGATTTTGGATTTCGAGCGGTTTTGGATTTAATGAATTTTGGATTTTTAAGGGTTTTAGAAACCTAGGATTAAGAAATAGCGCTTAAGGTTTCGTTTTTAAGAAAATACGAACATCTCTAAAAATCTCCAACATCTAGGCGGATTTTTGAAGCAAGTTCGATTTTAATAATTTTTGAAAATTAATTAAAAATTTCTTATGTTTATTTATTATTAACAATAATTCTTCAACATCTAGGCAGAATTATTGTTTTAGAAAAATATTTTTATTCCCTCCAACATCTAGGCAGGGAAAATTATTATTATTATTTTAAAGCATTTTAATATATTTTAATTATTATTTGTTTTTAATTTTATTATTATTAAAACGATTAAACATTTATTCTAACAAATTTATAAATTTATCATGCATAAATATAAAAATATATTTAAAATAACAAAAATAATAATAACAATAAAAAATTAGAAAATTCAAAAAAAAAAAAATTTTTTTTTACCTGAACCGGACCGGTCAACGGTCCGGTCAACGCTGGTCCAGGCGGTCTGACCGGTTCGGCGGTTGGATCGGCGGTTCGGTTTGGTCTGGTTGGTTTGACGGTTCAGTACCGGTTCGGTTTTGTCTGGCGGTTCGGTCCGGTCCAGTCAGACCGGGCAGAGCGGATGAAGGAAGCGGGTCGCGGGTCTGGCGCGCGGACCCCGGGTCGGGTCGCAGGTTGACGCGCGGATCTTCGGGTTTAAAACGACGTCGTTTTGGGCCTTTAATGAAACGACGTCGTTTTGATTTTGGCAGTTTATATAAAAGGCTCAAATTTTTTTTTTTGTCAGCTTTTCATTTTTCCAGAAAAAAAAAACTTTTTTTTTTCTTCTTCTTCAGCCGTCTCCGGTGGTTGGAAAATTCTAAAATTCTCCCACAAGCTCTTCTCGACCCCCTGAGCGTAGATCTGACCTCCTTTTCACCAAAAGGAGTCTCAAAATTCCTAGATCTGTCTTCAAAGTTTCGGCCAAAAATATATTTTTTTCTGCATTCTTTCTTTTGTTTTTTTTTTTTTTTTGAAGCTGACCTTTCTTTCTCTTCTTCGTGCAGGAAGCTTGGCGCTGAGGTTCCTCGTCGTAGGCGAGGACTGTGTTTTTTTTTTTTTTTGTTTCTGTTTTGGTTTTTTTTTTGTGGCGGTTCTGTTTGTGGTTGTTTTCGGTTGGTTTTTGTGTTTGGGTATTTTGGGTGTTTGGGTGGTTAGATCGAAATTTTTCGTTCCTGAACCCTCAAGCTGGAAAAAATTTTTTTGTTTCAGAGCTCTCACCTGAAAAATTTTTTTCGTTTTTTTTCTCTTTTTCTTTTTTTGGAGTTTATGTGTTGATTTTATAGAGTTTCAATTAAGTGGGATTTTGCTGGCTGTAGGGTGGTTAGTTGGTAGCTGTAGGGTGGCTGGCAGGAAGCTGGTCGGGGGGGCTGGTTGGGTTGCTGATAAGGAGCTGGTCAAGGAGTTGGTCGAGGTAGCTCGGCATCGCACCAACTCCTTGACTTCTTTCTTTTTTTTTGTTTGTTTACTTGTTTTGTTTTTTTCTGTTTTGTTTTTTTTCTTTTTTGTTTTGTTTTGTTAAATATTATTATTATTATAAAGAAAATAAAATAGTAGACCCGGACAAAATCGATGTCTACAGCTGCCCCTCTTTGCACGTTTCTGAGAATCAGGAATAGGGCAAAGACAAAGACAACGATTTTGTCCGAAAATAAATCGTGTTATTTTTTTGGTTTTACAGAAAAGGGCTCCTCTTAGCAGAGGCTCAACAACTTTAAAATTTCTTCTTGAAAAAGCTCCTCTCAACAGAGGTTCCACAACTTTAAAATTCTTTCTTGAAAAAGCTCCTCTCAATAGAGGCTCTACAACTTTAAAATTCTCATTTCGGAAAAGCTACTCTCAACAGGGGCTCCACAACTTTAAAATTTCTTTCTTGAAAAAGCTCATCTCAACAGAGGCTCTACAACTTTAAAATTCTCATTTCAGAAAAACTCCTCTCAACAGAGGCTCCACAACTTTAAAAATCTCATCTGAAAAAGCTCCTCTCAACAGAGGCTCTACAACTTTAAAAATTTCATCTTGAAAAAGCTCCTCTCAACAGAGGCTCCACAACTTTAAAATTCTTTCTTGAAAAAGCTCCTCTCAACAGAGGCTCTACAACTTTAAAATTCTCATCTTGGAAAAGCTCCCCTGCTCTCAGCAGAGGCTCCACAACTTTAAAATTTCTTCTTGAAAAAGCTCCTCTCAACAGAAGCTTCACAACTTTAAAATTTTCATCTTGGAAAAGCCCCTCTCAACAGAGGCTCTACAACTTTAAAATTCTCATTTCGGAAAAGCTCCTCTCAGCAGAGGCTCAACAACTTTAAAAATCTCATTTGTTTTCAAATTTAAGTTTTCATCCTTGAACAAGTAAATTCCTCTCTTTTGAATTCCTTTGTTTTGATCATTGTCTTTACCAAAATCTTGTTTTTTTCATTAAGAAAAAGGAAAATTTCTATTTTTGTTACAACTTCTCATGGATGCATGTACTGAGTGCTCATTTGATGCAATGTATGTAATGCAATCAAAATCGTTGCATTGTAGTAAAAAGGTTCTCAAAATCTCTCGCTTTCATCCAGCTTCTTTTATTCCAAATTCTTATATGACCAATCTGTCTTCAACATCTGACCACAATATTTTTTCTTCAAAGTCTGCAACCTCATGTCTTGTCATGCTTTTCTCATCCTTTTTCATTTGCCTTTGTCAACGTTAAAAGTAATGCTGAGATCTTTCATGTTTGTTTTTCTTTTCATCATTTTAAGTTCAAGACAAATAAAATGCAATCACACATTTCTCTGATGGACAAAAAATATCAAATAAGGATAAAGGAAAGGATAGGCATTATTTTAAATGAAGGATAATGTATTTCTTATGGCTGATAACAAGTGTATGTCAAAGTGTTTGAATTGAAATAAAGGTGTCAAAAGAATGATCACAAGATAATCATGAACAAAATATTCTCAGATTCTTTCTCTAAAAACTTAAATCAGATGACTTCCTTGATTATTCAGAGTTCATCAAACTACACTTGCCCCTGCATTGTGAGATCTTTTCTTGATGATGCTTTTACTTCACATCTAAGCCGCATTTTCAGGTTTTCAACTTAGATAAGTCA